ATACGTTCCTCCGAAACGTCACCCAAAACGAAGAATACACGGCGCCAAAACCCAGAAGACGACTTTCTTCTAATACAATATTGCCTGAAACAATATTCTTACTTCATAAAACGGCCAATTTCATTCATTTATTATAAAAAGTGTGCGAGTTGCAGCACTTTTAGTAACATGCTTAAATTTGTTTAAAAATACCCCAGAAACATGTATTTAAACCCTGTCCAGTTCCACCCTTAAGACCTTTTAAATACCTTGGCACAGCTACCTGTTGTTTGTTTCCTGTAATGCTTTAAACAAACACACCCTGCATCCCAGGTATCAACACAACTGACCTCATAGAAACTCCTTCAACAAACAACCATGATGGCTGACTGCCATACAACAGACTTCTGCCCAAACAAAAACATTCAGGGCAGCTATGAGGGTGAGTCAAATGAAAACCGTAATTTTTCTTTAATTCAATTTACTGAATGAAAGTGGTACACAACTATATCATTTTTCTACATAGTCTCCATTTCGTTCAACACACACCCTCCAGCGTTTACAAAGTGTATGGATTCCTCTAGAAACAAATTCTTGTGGTTGTTTGCGCAACCACTCATGCACCGCCTGCTGTACCTCTTCATCAGAACAGAACTTCTTTCCTCCCATTGCCTCTTTGAGTAGGCCAAACATGTGGTAATCACTTGGGGCTAGGTCTGGTGTGTATGTCGGATGAGGAAGACACTCAAAGTGCAAGTCTTGGATTGTTGCAACTGTTGTATGGGCAGTATGGAGCCTTGCATTGTCATGTTGCAAAAGGACACTTCTAGTCAAAAGTCCATGTCGCTTTGATCTGACTGCAGGTTAAAGACGATTCTTCAAGAGATCTGAATATGAGGCACTGGTGATAGTGTTCCCCTGAGGCGTGTAGTGCTCCAAGAGTATGCCTCGTTCTTTCCAAAAGAGAGTCAGCATAATCTTCCCTGCAGATTGCAGATGGCTGCGTCCGGAACTTCTTGGGTTTTGGTGATGAGGAATGACGCCATTCCTTGCTCCTTCTCTTTGTTTCCAGTTGGTGGTAGTTCACCCAAGTTTCATCACCAGTAACGATTCTCGAAAGGAAGCCACCACCTTCTGCTTCAAGTCACTGCAGAAGTTTTTTGCAGGCGTCAACACATCATTGTTTCAATTCTGAAGTCAGCTGCCATGGCACCCAGCTTGCAGACACTTTGTGAAACTGGAGCACATCATGAATGACATGGTGTGTTGATCCGTGACTCATGTTAAGAATTTTGGCTATTTCATCAGCTGACACTCAGCGATTCTACATCACTAGAGTTTCAACTCATCACAACTCTGTGTGCCTGGCCCAGGGGAGGAAGTGTCTGCCACAGACATCACACCATTTCTGAATTTCCTACTCCACTTGTATACTTACTGCTGTGACATGCATGAATCACCATACAGAACCTTCATTGGTCGATGAACTTCAATCGGTTTCACACCCCCACTGATCTAAAAACGAATTACAGAACGTTGTTCTTCTTTCACACATGTACGTAGTGGAGCAGCCATCTTCAAGCGGCACCATGATGGCGTTGTGTGTCTGCATTATACTGCCATCTGTAGGATGCTCTTTATAGCATTTGTTACATGTCTGCCAACTTACAGGACAATGGCGTGATATTTCGAATTTTGATCTCAGTTTTACGTTTTTCATTTGACTCACCTACGATTATACCACAAATCAACAAAACCATAATATCATATATACAGAAACTGAATAAAAAGATGCAACAATTTAATTCCTGCAATGGCCCTGTGAAAGCAAAATTTGCTTGCCTGTTCACTAGCGACTGCTGCTGCCTTTGAAATACTCTCTTTGTGAAGCTACGTACTTCATGAGACGATAGTGCCACTCCCAGAAACAGTCTTGAAAATCGTTTTCCAGAACACCCTGCAGTAACGTCACGTTGCGTTGGATGTCAGGAATGTCAGCAAATCTTTGTCCCTTCAGGGCATTTTTCAAATTTGAAAAGAGCCAAAAATCACAGGGGGCTAAGTCAGGTGAATAAGGTGGATGGTCCATTTTGTAATGGATTTCTCAGCCAGGAACTTGTAAACTCTTAATGTATCATGCACAGGGTCATTGTCATGGTGGAGAATCCACTTGTCAGGCCACAGTTCGGGGCTTTTCCTCCAAACAGATTTCCGTAACTTTGTCATCACTTCCCTATAACACTACTGCTTCACCATCTGTCCTTGTGCAATGAATTCATAGTGAACTATCACCCCTGCAATCAAAGAAGCACACAAGC